GTCTCTCTCCACTTCTGCTCTCTCTAAAAATCAATGGAAAAAATATCCTCAGGTGAGAATTAACCAAATAAGTACATAAATACTAACTAGATCTGGGTAATGGCTGCCCAAGGTGAATTTCCTTTCTGGGATGGAAATTCGGCCCCAATAAAGCGGATAAAGAGATTATGATGTTTGTGAGCCAAGTGGAAATCTGAACACTGACTGGGTATTTGAAGATACTAAGGAGTTATTCGCTGTTCATTTTCTTTTCACTTTTTAGGTGAAAGAGTGACAGTGTGAGTGTGTTTTTTTAACGAGTCCCTATCTTTTAGGGATACAGGCTGAAGTATCTAGGAATAAAATAATATGATGGCTGGAATTTGCTCTCAAGTAATATGAGAGGGGTGGGGGAGGGGAGGCAAGATGCTCTCTCTCTGTGACCACCTTCCACTGTCCCCTCCAACACTCACCTCCCGCCACAGCAGCCTCCTTGCTGACCTCACACTCCCCAAAGACCTCCCTACCTCAGGGCCTTTGCACTTGCTGTGCCTTCCGCCCAAACCCCTCTTCCCTGAGATGTTCACCTCCTTTGGGTCTCAGCTCAAACGTCACCTCCTCAGAAAGCCCTCCCTGGCCTCCCTGGCTAAAAGAGCAACCCCTGTCACTCCCTGTCCTCTTGTCCTATTTTATTTTTTATAGCGTTTACCTCTCCCTGACACCATATGCTATATCAGTTGTCTGATTATTGCCCATTTCCCTCCAATAGGATTTAGCCCCACAAGGGAAGGGATGTTGCCTATATCCTTGACACAACCTGGCAGATAGTCAGTGCTCAATAAATATTTGTTCAATGATTGAATGGCTTGGAAAATCCCAAGTGAATGAGGTGAGAGGGGAAGAAGAGGGGGGAGATGGGCACCCACACAAAGAGAACAGCCTGTGCAAAGGTCTGAGGCTTGCTCCTACAACCCACTGTCCCCTCTTGCACAGCGGCCTGGGTGCTCTTCCTAGGGTGAGGAGTTAAGGGGACATGGGGTCCTTTCTCCCCAAGAACAGGACCAAGCCCAGCCCTTGCCAGGAGGCACAGGAAGCCACACCCCAAGGTCAAATCCATGAGTAAATATTGCAGCACCCTCAGCCTCGCCCTGGTGAGATAAGGGGGAGGGTGTCAGAAACCTGCTAGCAAACCCCTCAGCTTCAAGGTCTCTGCCCAGGGAGGACAGGACAAGAGTCCTGCCACCTGTCATGGGGCACAGGCCACCCACCGTATCTATCTAACAAATATTGATTAAGCCTGGTAGGTGGGGCCTCAGCCAGTGGACTGAATGAGGAAGCCCCAAGCAGCCTCTGGCTCCCTAAGGAACTAATGAGGTGGCTGGGGGTTGGCTAACAAAACAGGGTCAGAGAACCTTGTCCTCAGCTGGTTGTGTGGAAAAGATAAGACTTATGCACTCCAACTTCTTGAGGCAATGGCCCTGAGCCTCAGTTTCCTTGTCTGCAAAATGGGCTCCAGCCTCTCTGGCCTCACGCTTAGCAAACACTCCTGCCTCAGGACCTTTGCACTTGCTATTCCCTCTGCCAAGAATGCTCTTTCCCCAGAATCAGCATGGGTCCCATTCCGAGTCTAAGGAAAAAGTGAAGCTAGGAAATACATGCAATGGAGTTATTTTAAACAAGCTGCTAAAATTACTAACATCAGGTCGAGCCATGAGGCAAGACTCCATTCTTGTTCTAAGTAGCCTGGGAACTTCAACTTTCTTGAACATTCCAGTCCTGCATGAGTGCCTGGACTTCCAGGCAGCCCTCTAATTGTCCCCTGAAGGACTCACATATCCAGGCCACCTGACACCTATTATCCAGGCCTCCGGAACAACGTGACCAGACCTCCTGGCACCCATCTCCCGGCCTACCTGAATCTGACTGATAACCGTCCTGGACCGACCCCAGGGCTGAGCACGCAGGACTGATCCTTCTCAAGAAGGTGCCCTTATTTGCTGTAAGAACTTTTCGCTTTACCTTCATCTTCGGGACACTTCTGGGGTTTTGCCTGGCTGTGTTTCCAGTTTGCAAACTCCAAGACCCTAGGATAAATCTCTATCGTGTATTTCTAGCAAAGCCTGCAGACTCTTTCTGAGTATGCTCCACAAGTCTCTACTCCGGTGTCATCTCCTTCGACATCTCGCTGCCCTCCATGAACCAGCGCCGTGGCCACTCCAGCCTCCCAGCTCTGTGGGGCGGGGATGGCTGTCTGTCCTGTTTAAGGCTGTAACCCAGCGCTTAGCAGAGTGCTCAGCACAATGTAGGTTCTCAATAAATATTTGTTGAATGCTGAATGAACGATGGTGTCCACATACGCATGTCCCCTGTGAGCCTGCTCTCCTCCACCCTCACAGGACTCCCAGGGAGGTCAATGTCATGATCACCTACCACCCACCTCACAGAGAGACAAAGGATCCTGCCAATAGTTGCCTGGTCTACTTTCGGCACGGCTCTGGGCCTGGCACATAGTAGGTGCTCAAGAAACTGCAGTTGTCTATTAGACCGAACAGCAGAGGAGGGATCAGGGAGGTGGGGAGTGGGGGTGGACAGAACAGGGTTGGTGTGAGGCTGTGGGTGGTAGGGAGCCATGGTGGGGTCTGGACACAAGCCGGGTCCCGCCCTAAGCGTCTTGGAGCCAAGGCCTTGTCATGCTCCTCAGCCAAATCACCAGAAACCAGGGCCTCCCTGGAGACTCCTGTCTGTGTGAGTCATCCACACCTGGTGTCCAGTTCCACAAACACTCCCTGTGCCCAACCCTGGGCTGGGCAGTGCTGGGGACACAGTGGTGACCACAACAGCCCTGGTCCTGCCCTCCCAAGACTCACAGTCCAATTGGGGAGATAGACCCACCACCCTGACAGTGAGGACCCAGGAGGGTCAGGGTTGGGAATGGGGATCCCAGGCCACCCTTAACCCCGACTGAGAGTCCAAGAGGGCTTCCTGGAGGAGGAGGAGTTATTAGGCAGGTGATTAAACAGTAGAGGGAAGCAGGGGGGCATGCTGAGTGTAGGGAGTGCAAGTGAGACCGAATAACTGGAGCAGAAAGTTCCAGAAGGAAGGGGTGTCCAGGAGGCTGGGGAGCCATGGCAGGTTCTGTGTACCATAGTGGGGGATGGGGGCAGAGACCCCAGAGGAGCTGGGAGGGGAAGACAGACAAGAGGCAGGAGGTACCTGGACAGGGGTGAGGGCCACAGGGAAAGAGAGAAAGGAGCTCATGGAAGGAATATATGGGGGGGGGAAGGTGTCAAGGACAAGGCCTGGGTCTCTCTGTCCCAGTGACGGTGGATGGTGGCGCCATCCGTGATAAGAGGACAGGGAGGAGGGGCAGATCTGGGGAAGATGCCAAGGTCGGTTTGGGACGAGGTGAGTGAGAGGTGCCCAGGGACATGGGGGAGGCATCCTGAATGACACTGGGATGAGGTCCCAGGGCTCAGGGGAGGGGGCTGAGCCAGGACAGAGAAGGGTGAAGTGAGGTCACAGGTGAGGTGGGGAGAGCAGGAGATGCCAAGTCACCCACATTTCTCACTCCCCCCATCAGAGCCCCACCCAGCAAGGGCAGCTCAGGACATGGCTCTGGAGGAACAAACCAGGACAGGTGAGCCACAAGTGTGGGCCCTGCCCAGAAGCAGGACGCTGGGGCCTGGAGGGACCAGGACCCAGAAGCCACAAGACACGGATAATAGCACGTTTGTCAGGAATGCTCTTCCCTTAGGTCCGCACCTTGCCCATCCCCCCACCCTCCATCCCTGTGGCCTCTGCCCAACATCACCTTCCCAGAGACACCCTCCCTTGCCCCTAGTTCAAAAACTACAAACCCAAAAAACAAACAAACAACAACGAAAAAACAACTACAAACCCCTTCCCTGGCTTCATTTTTCTAAACGTCACTTATCTCCACTCGATGTGGAATAGATTTTACGTTTCTTTGTTTACCCCACGAATGAACCCACGGGGGCAGGGACTATATCTAGCAGCACCTAGGACAGTGCCTGGCAGGCAGGAGATGCTCAATGTTTGCTGAATAAATGAATGAGCTGGGCCGTTTACTAAGCGTTTGCTCCGAGCCGGGCACCATTGTAAGCACTTCACACACGTTTTACTCATTTAATTCTCACAACAGCCCTAAGAGAGGGGCGCTGTCATCCTTCCCATTTTACGGATGAGGAAACTGAGGCCCAGTGGGCTCTATACCTTGCCCAGAATCATGGAGGGTGGGGACAGTGGCATCAGGTCCAGGCCCGCACTTTCAGTAGCAGTAACACCCACCAGACCTCGCCTTCGGGGCCCACCTCTGCCAGGCGCTGGCTAACTCCTGGCGTGTAGCGTCTCGCTGGCTGCTCGCAGCGGCCCCGAGCAGGGTCAGCGCCAGCATGGCTCGGTCCTGCGCAGGAGGCCGAGGCACGCAGCCCCGAAGACTGTATGCAGCCACCCAGCCTTCTGTCCTTCTGTGTGGCTTTGAAACAGAGCAGGGTTCAAATCCCCTCTCCGTGCAGGAACTTAGGCAAGTCAGAGCCCCTGCCCGGTGCCTCAGTTTCCCCACCTGTAAATGAATGGAGGTTCTCACAGTGCCCACCTCACAGGACACCCACTACGATGACAGCTGAAGTCACCCACAGCTGTGAGGCTGGGAAAACAGCAGCCTCTGTTTCTTGGTTTTGTTCCTCAGCGACCCCTAAGCTCAACAGAGAGGCCAGCGCCTGGGCCGTGGGTAAGAACTGCCCTAAAATCTTCCCCCGTCACCCCCCCGCCACACACACACACCTGGCGACCTGGTTCTTCTCCTGGTACCAAACCCGGGCCCTGGGCACAAAGAAGGTTAGGCAGTGCCCCAGGAGGCCTGGCCAGGTCGTGGCCCCTGGCCCGTGCCTGCCACGCCTGCTCTGGTACCCAAACAGGGCCCCAGATCCTTGGTGACTCGATCCCTCCAAATTCAGGTGATCTCCCCCAGCTCCAAATCGCCGAACCCTCCCAAGTCCTGCGCCAGACGGAGCCAAGCCCCAACCAGGAAGGGCCTCGGAGCCTTGGGCCGCCAACACCACTGTCTCCAAGAGCCAGGTTTGGGGCGAAAGATGGTGCTGACCGGGTGCAACTGGCTCCTCCTCAGCGGTGAGCGAGAAGGGTGCCCCCCAGAATCTCAGCCCCTATGGCCTCAGGGAGGGAGGGGCTCCCCCGCGGGAGAGGGAAGGTGTGAGCAGAGGTCCAGCATGCTGTGTAGGGAGGGCAGCTCTGCTCCACAAAGGCACAGTCTGCTCTTCCAAGAGGCACCAGCATGGGCCGGGCCGGGGACAGCCACCCAGAGAGGTAGGCAGGGTGGACTTGGGAGATTTCTAAGACCAGAGCATGAGCTTGGGCGAGGCAGCCACTGTTACTCCTTTATTCACGTGACAAACCCTGGCCGAGGTCTGGAAGCTGAAGTAGGGTGAGTTCTAACCAGCAGCTCTGCCCCTCCCTGAGGACGTGGCTTTGGACAGTTGCCTTCCCCTTCTTGGTCTCAGTTTCCTCATCTATGAAATGGGCCTCACAGGGTCATTTAAAGGTCACCTTAAGCAGCATTTCTGTGCATCCTACGCACCTGGAGCTGTTCTGAACGCTTTCTGTGTGTTAACAGCCACCCTCTGGAGGAGACCCACCCGGGGCCCCCACTTCCTAGACAAGGAACCTGAGGCTCAGAGAAGTGAAGTCACTGCCTGGGGTCACACAGCGAGAAAGTGGCAGAGCCCCTGAGCCCTCGCTCCTCGCCATGCCTGGAAATTCCCCGAAGCCAGGCCAGCGTGTGCATACTTTCATGAGAACTGCCTCGGCGACCCATTCCAGGGAAATGCAGTTCAAACCCAAGCAGCCCTGACCAGCTGGTCGGGTTTGGAGCTTAGCTGTGGGGTTGAGAAGAAAAGGGGTGGAGTAGATTAATTATGGGGAGGCAAAGGAATAGCATTGGACTGGGAGTCGGGGCCAAGGGTTAAATGAGCCAGCCCGATCCTGTAAGACTCAGTTTGGTGACCCTCGCAGCAGGGAAACCCACTGTGTCCCCTGAAATCTCAAGGTCCCACAGGCTGAGCGTGTGCTATGTCCTTGGCAAAGCCTTAGGCTAGATCCTCAGCACAACCCGTCAGATTCAATTCTCAGAACACACACCCCTGCCCAGGACTGAGACTCTGCACCTGGCTAGTATTTAGTGAGCACTTACTGCATGCAGGGACACATATGGCAGGATCCCACATCTCCTCCATCAAATGGAGGGACCAGCCAGGCCTGCCTCATCCCACCCCTCTGGCTCCTTTCCTCAGCTGTGTTCCTGAGCACAGGGGCCGAGATCTCTATCACCCCCGAGCCTGACCAGCCAGCCGAAGGGGACAACGTCACACTGGCTGTCCACGGGCTTTCGGGGGAGCTGCTTGCCTACAGCTGGTATGCGGGGCCCACGCTCAGCCTGGCTTACCTGGTGGCCAGCTACATCGTGAGCACAGGCGATGAGACCCCTGGCCCGGCCCACACGGGGCGGGAGGTTGTGCGCCCCGACGGCAGCCTGGACATTCAGGGCGCCCTGCTTGGGCACTCGGGCACCTACATCCTTCAGACTCTCAACAGGCAGCTTCAGACGGAGGTGGGCTACGGACACTTGCGGGTCTATGGTGAGACACCCCCCAGACCTCCTCTTCCTCAGCCAAGCCTTCCTACCTCCTTTCCAATCCCTCTTCTAAAAAAAAAAAGAAAATTCTACAAAATTTAAAAACCACAAAAAAGACCTAAAACGACATTTAAAAAATACTCACCTCCTCCAGGATGGCTTCCAGGATTAGACCTGCCTTTTATCCCATTCTTTGTCACTCTGGCTGGGGTCACAGGGGCACCACCAGGATCCAGCCATGCCCCTCGCCTGGGAAGGGGGAGACCCTGGGAGCAGGCGGTGCCCGGCGCCCTCCCCCTCTGTCTCTTGCCCCACAGAGATCCTGGCCCCGCCCGTGGTCATAGCCAACAGCACGGAGCTGGTGGAGCGCCGCGACACCCTGCGCCTGCTGTGCAGCAGCCCCAGCCCCGCTGAGGTCCGATGGTTCTTCAATGGCGAGGCTCTGCCCATCGCCCTCCGCCTGGGCCTGTCCCCTGACGGCCGGGTGCTCACCCGGCATGGCATCCGCAGGGAGGAGGCCGGAGTCTACCAGTGTGAGGTCTGGAACCCGGTCAGTGTCAGCCGCAGCGAGCCCATCAACCTGACCGTGTACTGTGAGTCCTCCTGGCCCCGCCAGAGATACCCAGGGCCCAAACCTCGTAGGTGGGGAAACTGAGGCCAAGACAGGCGCCCAAGGGCATACGGTGTGTCAGCAGGTGTCCTGCGGTTAGGAACCAGGGAACCCTCTTAAAATGTCCTTGGCCCATCTCCTAAGGACCAACGACACTTTTGAAATGGCCCGATCCTCCGGTTCGTAGCAGTACCTGCAGGGAAGGGACAGCACAGCGACCGGTTTCTGAAAGGGAGGCGGGAAGCGAATGGGGGCTGGGGAGGGAGAGAAAATAAAACCGCTGCCAGGGTCTGTGGAGTCCGGAAAAGAAACCACTGAGGTACCCGGGGGCCGGTGATGCAGAAAATCTTAGAACCTACAGGCTGCAGCCACGCACTGGATTCTAGACTCAGGATCCTGGTAATTCTAGAAGCGGAGATTCTTAGAATCTTAGAACCTGATTCTAAAATCGTAGAGCCACCCAGTCCTAGAATCTTAGAAACCTAGATTTCTAGACTCCCACAACCCAGGAACCTGAAACATCACTCTTGGGGCCTTAGCATTCTAGCCTTTTACAATGGCTTGTCAGAAACTGATCGCTTAGACTTATTTATTTCTTAATGGAGTCATCGATTTCAAAAATATCTTGAAATTTAGCCTGGCTCAACACCTCTTTTTACAGCAGAGACACTGAGAGCCCCTGAGAGGGAAAGTGGCTCGAGATCCTAGAGCGGGTTAGAGAGCCCTGTGGCCCCCACATTCCCGGGGGCCCAGCCTGGTGGAGAGCCAGCCAGGGCTGCCCAGCCCTCCTCCCCCTCCCTCTACTGCCCCATTTCTCTCACTCCTGCCCCCACAGTCGGCCCAGAGCGTGTGGCCATCGTCCAGGATTCCATCACCCGCACGGGCTGCACCATCAAAGTGGACTTCAACGCGTCCCTCACCCTGTGGTGCGTGTCCCGGTCCTGCCCAGAGCCCGAGTACCTGTGGGCCTTCAACGGGCGGGCCCTAAGGAACGACCAAGACCACCTCAACATCAGCAGCATGTCAGCGGCCCAGGAGGGCACCTACACGTGCATCGCTAAGAACGCCAAGACCCTGCTCTCCGGATCGGCCTCGGTGGTGGTCAAGCTCACCGGTGAGTCGCCCGGCCTGGCCGCCGCCCCTCCCCGCGGAGGCTCAGTGGGCTGTAAAGGTTTGGCTGCGCCACCGAGAGTCAGGCCACCATTCACCCAGCTCGTGATGGGAAAGGGAGAAATTCGCAGCCCGTTTGTTGGCCAAGCAACGAAGCGGCGTGTCAGGTGGACCCCTCTTCATCCAGGCGACAAAAGGAGACAGTTCATCCTGTCGCCTGGAAGACAAACGACAAATCTGAATCTCTTCCTTGAAGGGTGGCCAAGCGAGAAACGGGCCACAGGTCCCACACGGCCCAGTGGCAGAGTGGGCAAGCATCCAGATGTCCCTTCATGCGGGTGCCCCAGTCTTAATTCAGTCGCCAGCTGCTAAGGGGCTTGGTTCTTCAACGGCAAGGCCCTCCCCATCGCTGCCCACCTCGGCTTGTCCCCCACTCCCTGCCACATAGGCAGCTGAATTTCTGGGTGGCCAGGTAGATTGCCCAGTTATCTGGCCCAGGTGACGGTGTGTGCACGCACACACACACACACACACACACACACACACACACACTCGGAAAATCACAGTCAGTTGCTGGCAAATGGAAAAACACAGCTGAGAGGCATTATCTTATCCTTAAACGACCTGGGGGCTGGGGGTAGTGCAGACACAGCTGGTGTTTTCAGAGCCATCAGGAACCTCAGGGGACCTTTTCTCATCCCCTGGGGATGGTGGCTTTGAACATTAGGGTCTGATTAATCCCGCCTTGGTTCCTTTCCAAGGGGCCACCATCCCCCTGGGACAGTGGGAACAGTCCTCCCCTCCCACCCTCTCCCCTCCCTCCTACTAACAGGCTGGGTCTCATCCAAAGGGTGGATCCCCTTTCACCCAAAGCAGAAATGACATCCCCAGAGGTAAGTGTACCTCCTGCCCCACCTGGGCCCAGGCAGCTGGCCTTGGCAGGAGACGGGGTGGGGGTGGGGGGTGGGCCAGATGACCTCAGGTGCTGCCCCCAAGCCCTGCCTGCGGGGGGTATCCCAGGTGTGCAGGTATGTGCAGGGAGTGGGTACAGTGCCCCAAACGGCCTCCTAAACTGCCAGAAACCCTGTGGCAGGTGCCAGGAAAGAGACAGAGGAAAAGGAGACATCGCCCTTCCCCCAGCTGGGGCAGCTGCTGATCTGATGGAGGATACATGGTCTCGGCCCTTAAAGAGATGGTCCCGAACAGGGAAGCGTGGCCTCCTCACTCAAGGAGCTGCTAGTCAGAGAGAAGAGGGAATGGACTTTCAAGCAGTGATGGAGGAGACCTGACTGACACCCACCCTCAATGAGTTTCCAATCAGATGGAGGAGACATAGTCCACACTTGGGGAATTTTCTATTCTGATGGAGGAGACATGGTCTTGAGGAGACATGGCCTTTTTATTTATTTAATTTTTTAGAATTCCTAGTCTGATGGGGGAGACACAGTTCCCGCCTTTGGGGTACTCCCAATCTGATGGGGGAGTATAGGCCTCCCACTTTCTAGGAATTTCTAGTATGATGCCCCAATCCAACTTCTGGGGTTCTCAGCCTGATTGGAAAGACCTAACCCGATCATCTAAAATTTCCAATCTGATGGAGGAGACATGGCCTCCGACCTTCTGGAATCTTTCAGCCTGATGGGAGACTATAGCCCCCACATTCTGACAGAAAAGACACAACCCGGGGTGCACAAATCCCAACTACCTGATGGGGGAGACACGGCCCCCATATTTTAGAATTTCCAATCTAATGGGGGAGACACGGTCCCCCATATTTTGAATTTCCAATCGTATAGGGGAGACATGGCCCCTATATTTTGGGAATTTCCAATCTGATGGAGGAGACATGACCCGATTCTCTAGGGTCTTGCACTTTCATGGGAGAAATATCCCCCAAAGGCTGGAAATTTTTAGTCTAATGGGAGAGAGATGGCCCCCACCCCCGGGGGCCTCCCAGTCTGACGGGGGAAGACTCGATCCCTGGCAGGCATTGTCCAGACACAAAACCCTCCACTACCACACAAGTCACCCCCTTCCTCTGTCTCCTTCCCAGAGCCCTGCATGAGGGAGCGCCAGCCAGCTGGGGGAGGCATAGATCAGCCAGCTGGGGCGGGAAGGGGACACTCTACCCAGTGCAGGCCCAGCTGAGCCCGTGTCCCCTCACTCTCTCCCCAGCGGCCGTAGTCGCCATGGCTATCGTGCCCGTGCCCACCAAGCCGATGGAGGGCCAGGACGTGACACTGACGGTACAGGGCTACCCCAAGGACCTGCTGGTCTATGCCTGGTACCGCGGGCCTGCCTCTGAGCCCAACCGGCTGCTCAGCCAACTGCCGTCGGGGAACTGGATCGCGGGCCCCGCGCACACAGGCCGGGAGGTGGGCTTCCCCAACTGCTCGCTGCTGGTGCAGAAGCTGAACCTCACGGACGCCGGGCGCTACACACTCAAGACTGTGACACTGCAGGGCAAGACTGAGACGCTGGAACTGGAGCTGCAGGTGGCCCGTGAGTGTGTGCGAGGGTCGAGGGTCGGAGGGCCCCTCTCCATAGGGGGCTCCCGAAAGGGCGCTTTGATTCTTCCATAGGGCTGGGAAACATAGATCAAGGATGCGCATGCCTTCCCACCAGACTGCAAGAAGGGACCTGGCCTCCTCCATCTGACTTGGGGGTCCCCAAATGAGCTCTTCTGCCTCTTCTGTCAGGCTGATGACCTAGTCAGGGGTCCATAGGTCTCCTCTCTCAGACTGAGGGCTACTAAAGGGGACATCCGTGCCTTCTCTCATGCAAGAGGGACACCAGGCTGGAAGTTTTAAGAAGGGGACGTAGCCTGGGGGCCGGTCATCCTTTCCCCACAGACGAGTGGACCCTGAAACACAGAAGATATTGCTTCTACCACCCTATTGTTTACTTCCCCCATCAGACTAGAAGTATAGAGTCAGGGTGGATCATGCCTCCCTCTTCAGACTCTCCTAGGCAATGGGGATCATGTCTTAACCTTTGCATTACAGTATGAATGAGGGCAGAATTTCTGCCAGCAGAGGGTGGAATTTATCTCGCAATAGGAATAACCTACCCCGTTATGATGGAGGTTTCTAGGTGGTGGGAATTGTGTCTCCTCTATCAGACTGGGAATTCCCAGATGTTGGAGACTATGACTCCCAATCAGACTGACAATGTCTCCTCCATCTGACTGGGAGCTCCCAAGTGTTGGGGACCGTGTCTCCCCATCAGACTGGGAGTTCCCAGAAATCAGGAACCATTTCTCCTCCATCAGACTGGGAATTCCCAAATGTTGAGGACCATATCTTTCTCACCAGAGTCAGGGATCATGTCTCCCCCTTCAGACTGAGAGCTCCCAGAATCAGGGACCATGTCTCTTCCATCAGACTGGGAGCTCCCAGAGTCAGGGACCATGTCTCCTCCATCAGACTGGGAGCTCCCAGAGTCAGGGACCATGTCTCCTCCATCAGACTGGGAGCTCCCAGAGTCAGGGACCATGTCTCCTCCATCAGACTGGGAGCTCCCAGAGTCAGGGACCATGTCTCCTCCATCAGACTGGGAGCTCCCAGAGTCAGGGACCATGTCTCCTCCATCAGACTGGGAGCTCCCAGAGTCAGGGACCATGTCTCCTCCATCAGACTGGGAGCTCCCAGAGTCAGGGACCATGTCTCCTCCATCAGACTGGGAGCTCCCAGAGTCAGGGACCATGTCTCCTCCATCAGACTGGGAGCTCCCAGAGTCAGGGACCATGTCTCCTCCATCAGACTGGGAGCTCCCAGAGTCAGGGACCATGTCTCCTCCATCAGACTGGGAGCTCCCAGAGTCAGGGACCATGTCTCCTCCATCAGACTGGGAGCTCCCAGAGTCAGGGACCATGTCTCCTCCATCAGACTGGGAGCTCCCAGAGTCAGGGACCATGTCTCCTCCATCAGACTGGGAGCTCCCAGAGTCAGGGACCATGTCTCCTCCATCAGACTGGGAGCTCCCAGAGTCAGGGACCATGTCTCCTCCATCAGACTGGGAGCTCCCAGAGTCAGGGACCATGTCTCCTCCATCAGACTGGGAGCTCCCAGAGTCAGGGACCATGTCTCCTCCATCAGACTGGGAGCTCCCAGAGTCAGGGACCATGTCTCCTCCATCAGACTGGGAGCTCCCAGAGTCAGGGACCATGTCTCCTCCATCAGACTGGGAGCTCCCAGAGTCAGGGACCATGTCTCCTCCATCAGACTGGGAGCTCCCAGAGTCAGGGACCATGTCTCCTCCATCAGACTGGGAGCTCCCAGAGTCAGGGACCATGTCTCCTCCATCAGACTGGGAGCTCCCAGAGTCAGGGACCATGTCTCCCCCATCAGACTAAGCATCTCCAGAGGTCTGAGAGGCCATGTCCCAGAAGCAGGGCCAGGTTTCACTCATTAGACCAGGAACTCTCAGAGGCTGTGAAGTGGGTCATTCCCCCGACTGGAATCTTGCCTCCCCCATCAGACCAGACACTCTCAGAAGCCATGTCCCTGAGTCAGGGTGAGTGTCTTGCTCTCTCAGACTTGAAGCTTCCAAGATCAGGGACCCAGTCCCTGGCAGGCACCCCTAGACCCCCTCCTTCATCTACTCCCTCCTCAACCCCTGGTTTTCTGGGTCAATACTGGGGGGAGAATGCTGTCCAATGACAGCCGGCCACCCCCGATGAAGGCCCGGGATTCCCTTTCACCTGTCTCTCTTCTCACAGTCAACCTCTCTCCCTCGCACGAGGACCAACGCCACCTTCCTGAACCTGAACCTGGCACAGGCTGAGCGTGGGGCGGGTGGGGCCGCCGGGAGGCTGGGGGCGGGCAGAGGAGCAG